GTATAATGTCTCCACTACTTTGCACCATGTTTTTCGGAATTGGTTAATGAATATTTAATTTTTATTTCTGTTGTTTAACAACCCCAAACCTCAAAGAAGCTGTGTACTAATAATTAAATGCACCCTTGTGATTTTTGTAGAAAAGCCTATCATAGACCAAGTAATAAGTTTCTTATTAGGGTGAAGGAATTGAAGATACCAGAAGAGGAGATTTGAGTGTGGTATTTTTGAGGTATATAGTCTTACCATGTATTTTCTATCTTCTAATTTGAATGATATTTTTTCGAATTTTGTAATTTGTACGCGTGTATGTACAGTTTTCACATAATCTGTGATCAAGAAGGTCATGAAGTTACTTTCATTTTAGCTACTTTTTTCTCAGAAGGTCATGATTCTGTGGCTGAACTATGTGTATGGAAGTTGACAGAAGCGCCGTTCAATGGAAGATCATGTGATATCTTAATTTTCAAATGGAAATTACCAGTCATGAAAGTGGTGATGATCTTATCACCAGCTGACTTTCTGAATGGCTGTGATGATCGTCACTATGATGAAATCCTTGATGGTAATGGTCTCTAAGGTGAGAGGTTTGGGCTGGAGACTCATTTTGCTGCTGTTCGCCCAGAGCCCTATTGACTCACTAGAATATTCAACTTACAGAATGTTTTCTTGGACTTTGAAAAATAGTATTACCACTGAAGGTGAGAGCACATATGCCATCATCAATGTTTTGTGGGGCATCCCTTTTACAGTACTTTTTATGAGACTTGGTTATGGTTGCATAGCATGCCACTGCTTTACCTGAAGGATTGGCTACTCATAAGTTAACATGGTGGCAGTTGGTTTTGCATTCTCCATCACTCCATCACTTTACACTTTATCAGCTAATAGAGGCAACATATATTTATCCATGAACTCAGTTATGGTGATCATCAGGCCAGTTCTGAGAGTCATGTAGTCCAAATCCTGGTCATACTAATTTGTTAAATCACTTATCCACTGCAGCATAAAATAAGTACAAAAAGTTGGCAACAGGTCAAAGGGCTGACCACTGAATACTCAAAGAAAAAGGTAGCCAGAAGGGTCAAAAATTTGATCTTAAGTACTAAGAGTCAAAACTGAATTATTATTCATTTGAAATACAGTCAGGTGTGGAGGTTGCCATAATTGCCTGGTTACAACCATATTCTGATCTAAAGTTACTTCTAAAGGGAGAAAGTAAAAACTGTTATATTGGTCAAGTTACATTTCTATAAGCTTCACGTGTACTTATGCCTTTAATACTCAAAGAAAATTCAGCCTGTGAACTTTTTGCTCACCCAGGCTTTAATGGGTTTCCAATTGGTCAACACACATAATCATGCTGTCTGCTGTCACATCTGCCAAGCAACAGGTAACATAGTTTACTCCAACCCATTACATTGCCATTGAAGAGAGAGTGAATCCAGTAGGAAGGAAATGGGGTCAATTCTGCAGATATCCAACTTTTACTCACAATAGCTAATTCATGCTAGCCATTGTAAAAGTACCAATATCTACCTCTGTTAAAATTTACTAACAGTTATTTCAACATAACCGTTTGAAATCATTTGTACATTAACTTACATTTGGTATGATAACTAAGATATTGTTGATGAATTCCATTTACTTCTGATAAGTTCAGAGAATATTTTGATTTAATCCAATCAAATATATTATGCTACTCTTGCTGAAAAACACACTGTATAAAACTGTTTTCACTCAGATACAGTGTGAATTTTGATTTTTTAAAAATCTTATCCATCCGTGAAATATAATGACCTGCAAACTCTGCAATTTCAAAATTAAAATATTCTTTCACTTATATTACTGAAAATAGCAGATGATATGTATTGTTACGACAGCGGAAGTCACGTGACGCTGGTAACATGTAACGAGTATCTAGAAGGTTCCTGAAGTCTCGAGACGCCCTCTATTTTGTATATATAAGACCGGCGAGAAGTGATGGCATAGATATATAGATAATTGCAGACAGACAGAGACGGGCAATTGAGTCAAGCGCGGTAGTAAGTAAAGTGAGTGAATAGTTGGTTGTGAATTATAGCGTGTGTTGAAGTTAAAGTGACTGTGGAAATTAAGTGTATTGCAGAGTTGAATTGAAAAAGAATAAACTAGTTTTATTTAAGAAAAGACTTGTATCGCTGAAATTTCTCGGAAAGAATTTCTACAAAATAAAAAAAATAACAAACGACCAGAGACGTAACAGTATGTTCAAGGAATGCCTTCTATGTCAATAAACATGGTTAAACTCATATCATAAGGTTTTGACAACCAGATCAAATCTTATATTTCCATTCACATCTTACTTAAGAGTTCAATTCTTTGTGTAATTGATTCAGTTGTTATTCAACACTCATGAACACCCTTATATAATGTTCATACACATGTCCAAGACTGCACACATTTATTTATTTATACACATATTGCTATATAATTATATCAACATTATACATTGCCAAATACACTAGTATGGTATTTTAAGGTGAACTGATTTCCTGTAAAATCAAATAATTAGATCCAGTAATAACAGCAGATTCGATCAGGAATAATGATGATAAGCTACACTTGATAATTTGATTGAGTTTTAAGTTATGTGAGAAATAAGCAGATTAGACATGTTTGATGAGCCATAAACTCCATCTTTCTTTAGAAACAACAACAACAACAACAACAAAAAAAACAGTGTGCATATCTGTATAGACAAATGAATGATTGCATGTACGGGATCAGCTTTCCATTTCTCAGGGAGAATTTCTGTCAAGCTAGTCATGATCAAAACAAAGAAGAAATGAACTAAGAAAACATGTCTGAATTCAATAGATAGTAAGTTTCTTTGTCCAGTTGATGGTGTCACCTCACGAGCTTTGATTTTTAACAGCCTTAGTCAACTGCATCACTTAAACAATGCCAACTCGGTCAGGAAATGATATTAAAATGCCAATCCTTACAATCCAGATTTGTTATGTTACTGAAATATCCTTTTGGTTAGAATAGACATTATCTACTATAGATAACAAAGAAGAAAAAAACAAACAACTAGAACAAGATAACCTCACTAACTTTCTAATCAGAATTCCTTTATCCTAAACAAGTAGAAAACATATGATATGCCTGCACATTACACTAGTAACTTAAAACATATTACTCCTAGCTCACACATAATTACTTCCAGTAACCTTCCCAGGTTCTCTTCCACAAGCTATGTCTAGATAGCTGTTGTACAAGAGTGAATTTGGTGTATCTGGATTTTCAGAATGCATCTGATAAAGCACCACGTAATAGGCTGGTTAAAACTTATCTCTGTAAGTGTGGAGAATAGATTGACTCATCGAACAGAAAAATAGATAGAGAGAAGAAAGCAGAGAATTGTTATAAATGGATTTTAGTCAGATTGGATTAATTCACAAATGGGGTACCTCAGGGTTCAGAGATAGGGCCTTTGCTCTTTATAATTCACATAAATGACGTAGATAAAAGACGTAGCCAATAAATTATTTAAGTCTCTTGATGATATTAAGGGTCTGGGTATTGCTGGTTGTGAGGAAGATGCTGCTACTTTACAAAGAATTTGAATTATTTGGTGAGTAGAGTGAATAAATGACAGATGGCTTTTGATTATATTAAGTGCAAGGTAATACTTGTGGAATGTCTTAATTTTAAATCAAGAGTATAATTTGGATGGGATTATTCTTGACAATGTTATAAAAGAAAAGGTTCTTGTTGTTCTAATTGATCAGTCTCTTAGGCTATCCAAGTAATGTAGTGTTGATAATGGCAGGGCATATAGGAAAATGTTTCTTCTTAAAAAAAAGAGGAGTTAGGGGGAGATCTAACTGAGATATTTAAGAATGTTAATAGGAGTGATAGAGTTAATGCATCATATTTTTTCGTACTTAATGGCGGGAATGGTAGTTCTAGAAGACACAAATATATATTTTGGCAGGGTAGGAGCTGTCTTCAGCTGAGAGAGTTTTATTTGACTAACAAGATGGTTGGCCTTTGGAATGGGTTGACTTCAGTTATGGTGGATGCAATTAATTTAAGGGAGTTTAAGAGAGAGCTTGATAAGTGTTTGAGTGATAAGGGCCGGCTTTAAGTGTTTTATTTTATATTTTATTTTAAAGTTTAGTTTAGTGGATGGGATGGTCAAGATGGACCAACAGGTCTCTTGTTGTCCTTAAATTATATGTACAATATTCTGCCACTTATGAGCCATCACACTCAGCGCGCTTTTCTTTTCAGGTATCATGAAAGGAATAATGACTAGCAGAATTCATTCAAGCTAAGATTTTGCAGTGAAAATTCTCATCAGCCAGGTTTTTTTTTTTTTTGCTGTTATTATATTATATATCAATATACACATACAACTCAATGTCAAAGACACATGTCCAATAATAGAAGAAATATTCAAGCCTTTTTTGTTCATTTGTAGTAAGTTTTAGCAGCAACATCTGACATCATTTTTAAATACTCTGCTTGCTGGTAAATAGAAAAAGAGATTTACAATATACAGATTAGTTCTCTCCGTACTTTCACTCTTCATTTATAATTGAGTGAGAAGTTGCCTCATTGCCTCATTACAGTTCTTACTCCTGTGGCCTGTATAATTTTGATAATTTTTTTGCATTTTCAAGTTTTTTTTTCTTTGTAGTGAAAGAAAAGCCAAGTTCCTATCAAATTCATTAATTTTTTTTTCAAAAAATATACTGAATAAAAGTGTTTACAATAAGAAACCTATCTTTGTATAATTAAGATTCTACGAGGTAACCTGATATCCACTCTAAGAATTTTCAATATTCGATTAATTATATCTGTTTATATAAGTATGATTAAAAACTATAATGCCATATAAAGCTTACAAATTTTACTTAAGAAATCATAAATATAATTAAGGCAGAAATTGCATTAATTTAATTTTTAAACACTAGGTATCGCCTTTCTAAGAAAGGAGTTAGGCACAGACCTCCATATACTTGGTAAGTTATTGTAGAGTTGCTGTGAGTTTCAAGTGCAATGAATAAGTTGAGAGTCATCTAAAATACTAGGTATAATGAAAATATTTTGTAATAAGAAATAATTTTTAATAACTGCAATAAAAAGTTTCTCTTTTTTAACGTTAGGGAAGTTCGGAAAATATTAAGTTAAGCCTAATACTTGTGTAACTCGCTAACTGTAACTGAAGTTGTATGAAGTTATAAATAGAAAGGAAACATTGTTATGCTTAACATTTTAAATTAATGTAGTAGTACTAGTTAAAACACAGATAAAATTGCTACCTTAAAGTACTAATTTGTATCAGAGGAGTCGAACATGGACTGTAAAATATTTTTTAAAAATACAATGTTGCTGTTAGTGTAATATAGTTTTGTAAGTTTAATCAGTTAATGTCAGTGGTTTCGTTCACTGCTGATCTTGTAATTTATATTAATCTGAAGTTTCCTAAAAAGTAAAATTGAGAATGAACCTCTTGCATAGAAAAGTAAATCATAGTATAGTTACATTATAATTTATATTGAGTGTCCACCTTTTTTATTGTTTGAAAAATTGTACTAAATTTAGTTGTTAACTAAAGCAAGATCTATTCTATTTTCTAGTAGTAGTAGTAGTAAGGAGTCCCAGAGAAATGTAGTTCCTTTCCATGGAAGTATGTGAATGCAAAATTGCAGTTGTGAATATATAAATCTCTCATAAACAAAATACTAATTATTGAAAACCATACAAGAAATGGAAAACATCTAAAGTATTAATATGTGCTGAATTTACATTGTCTGTTTATGCCCAATGATAAGACGTAAAGCAACTTGTTGCCAAGCCAATGTGTAGTATGTTTATATTTTGCATTCATTATTTTTTGACATGCTGTCAGTTTGATTTGGGCAGATGTATCTATGTATCATTATGTACAGTAAAAGTAGAGTAAAGAAGGTATGTTGATAATACATATTTACTCTTTCGAAACTATTCACATCAAACAACGTTTGGATTATTTAAGTTTGTAACACCCTAACATTAATTTTACTTATGAAACTGAAAAAATGGTAAATTGCCTTTTCTTGATATGCAAATCAGCAGATTAGATAACCATTTTACAACATCTGTTAATCACAAAAAAACATATACAGGCTTACGTACTCAATTTGACAATTTTATTCCGACTTCCTTCAAATGTAACCTTATACTCAGCCATCTCAATAGAGCATATAACATCTGTTCTAACTACTTTTCATACTGAAATCACCACCTTACAGATCATTTTAATAAACAACAACTATCCTTTGCATTTTATTCAAGACCTAACATGCAAGTTCCTTTCTCACAAATTTGAACCCTCAAAGAAACCATACACTGTTAATAAATACCCATTAAGATTGGTTGTTCCTTTTTTAGGTAAGCAAAGTTTCATAGTGAAGTCACAAATTTTAAGAAAAATTAAAATGTTTGATCTAGAAGTTCAACTATGAACGATATTTAAATCACCTTTCAAAATACAAAATATATTCAGATCTAAAGACCTATTACTTATTCCTGTGTGTTCCTGGATCATATATAAATACACGTGGTGGCCATAATGTCACTTAAATTGCCAAAACTATACACAAATTACACTTGTGAGTCTGCAAACATATGGTATTATCATGCAGAACTGATAAAAAACAAAAACTATCAAATCCACCAAACTCCACAATTCACACACATAGTGAAAACACCAACCATCCTGTCTTTATTATGAATTTCAAAGTCATCTCAGCTGGATCATCCAATATTGGACTATAAATTAAAGAAAGCTTATCTATTATAAATGAATTCCCAACTTTAAATAATAACATAACTTCACTACAATTAAGTCTGTTTTGAATACTTGTATAATATTGTTTCATTATTCTATCCTTTGTTTATTTGGTTGTCTTTTAATTTATTTCATCCTTTTATTCTGTATTTTAATTACTTTTTATAAAATGTTTAAACTTTATAAATATTTCTACCTAATAATATACCCTATTCAATATAGCTTGCTGAAGATGGAATATGTATTTTCCAAAGAATTAAATGTTTATTACTATACACACACACGTGTCAGATGTTCGATGTTGCTGCTGTCGTTTTGTTGTTCATCATTAAATTTCGATTCCTGTTGAATGAATCTGTTGCTAATAAAAGAGCTTGTATGTATGTGTGTGACCACCATAGCTCCAAGAGGAAAGAACGGAGAGACCTAAAACTTTGCACGTGTACTAAAGGGATTCTGAGGGTATTATTTTTTAGATTCAACACAGAAATAATTTGGCCAATTTTTTTTAGCCCTTAGCTCTTAACCACCATAATTCTGCTTCCTGAAAGACTAGAGAAAAGTATCATAGTTTTCTCTAATTCTCACTTACTGAATGAACAATATGTGGAAGTTTCCTGCCAAATACTGTTGAAAAAAGAACAAAATGGTAAAAAAATCTGCCAAAATTGGGATAAAATGACATTTTTACAAAAAATAATAAAGTTCAATAGGCTATGGAGCTAAATATTTCTTAGCTAGTCAAAGGGAAACAAAGGCATCAGGACCTTCTTGGACCTATTGAACAGGCCCTTAGAATACTATAAAAGGTTTAAATAAATAAAGTTCAGGAAATTACATCAGACAAAACAGTTAAAGCATTTTGGTGCATGAAAAGACAATAAGGGTTGAAAATTGCTCCAGGATTGGTGATGGCAAGAACCTTTACAACTTGGCAACAGATGGGCAAACAATCAACATTGTCTTTTCTGAGGCACTGCAAGGATAAAAAATTTGCAAAACACTGATAATATGTGATATAAAATGTGATGTTAAATTGTCAGTGCAATGATAAAGTATTAAGATGTAAAGAAATAACTTACAGCAAAGATTTATTATACGATAAAATTGATGACTTCTGTAGTTTATCTGAGAAAACAAAATCTTTAAAAATATTTTTGGCTGTATTTCATATCTAAAATAGGTTCAAAATACACATACACACACACAGTTGACCAGAAAAATATCAATCTAAACACCCAAGTAAAGCCCGGTACTTTGGCTAGTGTTGAACTATGAATAAATTAAATGACAGTAAACTCTGGAGAATCTCTCAAAGTTGATTTATATGCTCAACATTTTTGTCAAGACCATACATTTTATGTAAGGAATTGTATCATTCAACTTCAGGCCATAATATTCTAAGAGTTTATTTCACATGTAATCAATACTATTGTAAAGTTTGTGTCATGGAAATAAACAATATAATGTAAATATTACCATTAAATAAAGAAATATTATCTTGCATAGTAGAATGAAAGACTATATGTGAAAGTTAGATAAACTTAAGCAAACTGAGTAAGTAGTGTTTAAGCTATTAACAAGAAATTTAGTTATATTTAAGAGGGAGGCCAGTCATTTTATTTATTCACTATTGGTTTATATTTTTCTATAGTGTGGTTAATGTATAAAATATTCTCCTTTGCTTTTACCCATGGGTTCTTAGAATTACTGTTGTAGGTTTCTCCCATTGATGTAGTTGCATGACCAGTTTTGAGAACAAGAAAACCAGATTGCTTGTTCATCAGTTCTTTTGAATGATATTAAATTCAAAATAAATAAATAAAACAGATAATTATGTTAAGATAAAACAAAAGTTGTGTTATTAATTTGTACCCTATAAATATGATTTGTAAATGACTTAACTAAATTTGATGATAATTAAAATTCACTTGCTTAACCTGATTCACACCATAATAATTGTTGTTCAAGAAAATTGATGATATATAGTACTGTTCCAGTTGTATCCCACCTGGCCTGATGAGCTCTGGTATTAGGCGAAAGGCGTTGTTTGCACTGGATATAGTAGATATAGTTAACATATTATAACATATTTGTCTTTGCTTTCACTCAAGGATTCTTTTTATCATAGATTATAGTATTATAAAAAGATACACCATGATAGATTGTCTAAATAGGCTGTTTGCAGTATAGCCTTTATGAGGTCTAGGGAAAATGTTTTTTCAGTAACTGTACTGACCCCAGGAAAAAGATTGTGACCTTAAAAGTTTTGTCGTTTCGTTCACATGTGACCAGATGACATAACCAGACATTTACATGTTTACTTCTGTTTGTTTAAGGAAGTTTCATAATGAACCCATCCACAAATTGTAACCTTGATAGGAACTAACTTCAAATTATTTCAAGCAAAATTACACATCATAATGATCATATAAATTTGTATTAAAATATTGTTGTGTACCTTATTATTATGCTAATTTTTTGCTAATAAGCTTTTATAGATAACTTATTGTATGCTGCTGCTGCTTAGTATTTTTGTATAAATTTGAAGTTTTTGTTTTCCTTAGACACAAAACGTGAAGTTGTTTTTTCAACAGAGTGCTTGTTTTAGTTTATTGATGGGATCTAAACCAATATTGTTTTGAGTAACAGTTTCTCAGACTATTCATATATTTCTTGCAGTGCTTTCCAGATGTTTATCGTAAGCTGAAACATGCATAACTACATTCTACATACCACTAACAAGTGTAGTAGCACTTAGCTCATTATAAGAAAAAGCTTAATGTACAGGTGTGAATACATCTCATGTACCTAAGCTCTGAAGCTTTGCATGTTATTAAGTTTAATGAAGGAGAGTTATCTTGTTCATTCCAAATAGCTTTTGTTGTTTTTGCACAAGTGTATATAATTTTTTATCTACTATGTAGAAAAGTGCAACTATGGTGTTTTAAAATAAACTTGAAATGCACACTGTGTTTGCAGATGATGCAATACCCAGAAATAACATGATGCTTATGGGAATGTTCGGAAAATTGGAGTTTTGTCACATTGAAACAGAATGACAATTGATAATAATGAATACTGAAGCACATCACCATTATAATTTTACAGTTTACTACACACAATAAGATATTTACAAATTAAATGTTAAAATCTAAATCAAATTAACAAATAAATTTTCAGCAAGTTACCCAATTTACACAAGTACCCCAGGAAATTCACATATAATATCTGTAACTGTTAATCTTGTAATCATCTCTAGGTGCTGTTCTGCATATTCTACACAAAAACAAATATTTCCATAAGAAATGGTGGTAATATTTTACTATTTACATATCACAGACCGAACGATACCATTATGATCATTGTCAATTTCTCGATATGTTTCCAGACTATTAGCAAACTACAAATGTACAATAAAAATAATGAAATTAAGAAACAGTTCAAGTGTTCAATATAGTCATATTCCCCTTCTCTTATATGCTACTCATGGTGATGCTGTTTCTCCATACACATATTACTATAATGGACAGTGTGTGTGTGTGTATATGTATCTGGTATATGACTGAATTAATAAATACAATGTGTTGCTATGTATTGAATGGCATCACAGACAAAAAATCCATACAAAATTTCACGCTTTGGGTATTCAAGGTTCGGACAATAAGAAAAATAACTGGTATGTGCAACAATCATTTCTTTGTCACAGAATACAATTTTAAATAAAAGTACTCTCCTCACAACAAGAATACGACTTTCACTAGGACTGTACATGAGTTTGATTATATCTTTATTGATGTAATTTGTAAATATAGTACTTAAAAATGGAGTTCTTAAGAATACTTTTTTCACTAAAGGGTAGCACTTTTAATATATAAAAATAGTTTACATCAGCACAATCCAAATACTTTTCCTGTGCTGTACTTCCCAAAAAAATACTTTTTTAGAAAATGTTCACTTTTTCTAAATTTTTTTCAATGAGGTATGAATATTAGCACAAATGGCAGCCCTTATGGAAATATTCAAATCTGTATCTCAACACTATTCACAATAATAATCACTACTGTACTCAAGCTTACTTCTGAGCTACAGGATGACTGTAACCCTCTCTGTCGATCACAATAAATCTATCTCTACATATTCTAATTTTTCCTCATGCACTCAGACTTGTGGTCAAATTATAACCAATGATTACTCACATCATGTGATTCACACTTTGCCTTCTGGAAATGGCTCACTTACGCAAAGCATGCAAAAATTAATAATAAATACCTTTTACTCTGCATATACAAAATACACTGCAACTTTGCTCAGTAACTACAAACCAAAATATACTTGCATCTAAACAAACATGGGAAATTTCTCCCATAAACTATATAACCAGATATAGTAATTCAACACACACACATTTTAAAAACATATATACATAATAAAATTACTGTACAACAATTTACATTGTATAACTGTGTGTGTGTGTGTATTATTGTATCTAAAAGCAGGGTTTCTTCAGCCATTTCATTTTTTTTTTTGCTGCATAGTTTTAAGTCAATTTTGTATGTTAGTTATAAATATTTTACAATTGATATTTTGTCATTTTCTAGCATTTATTTATTGTAATTGATAAAGAAAAACAATATTCAATTTTTCATTTCTGCACAACCCTGAAGAGATTAGCTTGCAAACAATACACTTGTCAATATTTTTTAGAATTTGTCTCCCCCATCCCAAACAAAAACTTTATTTTTGCTAAGAACCTATCACTACCCTTGAGAGTATCTTATCCATTTCTTGATTTTTAGGCATTGCCCTTGTCTTTTTATTTTTTGTATAGTCCTTGGTTGCTACCCATTTCTAATTCTATATCAAATGCTTTGATCATTTACTAATGAAATACTGACTTTAAAAACAGCTATAAAGAAAACTTAAATATGATTGGATAGAGCAGGAATTGAATTTTTGACATAGTAGAATAAATATAGTGGTTTGAGCAGTAGTTTATGGTTTTATGGGTAAATTAGATTGAGTGAAAGTATTTGTGTGTTACATTATGTGTTTGAAAGCTATAAAATTTTCTTAAATGGGAAAATAACAGTTAGGTTTAATGAGTATGGTGGATTACAGCAAAATATTCTGAGGAGTCAAGTCCTTATTTACTGAATGTTATTTTTGTTTATGGTTTTTAAAGTACAAATAAATTGGCTAACTGGCTGCTTAATGATTTCTAATTGGAATTTTGATATGTTTTAAATAAAAACTGACATTATTTGTGGTAGTAATATTTATAATCAATTTATCTGATTTACACAGATCAGTGGGGATTACTGCCTAATTTAAAAACAAAACGGTGACTGACATCTCAAAATTATCAATTTGCCATATAGCAAATGTTCAGATTATCTTTAAAATAATTTATGGCAAAATATATTGACTTTTCTTTTTAACCATATCGTGCCAGAATAATAATTTAATTAAGTATCCAGGAGTTTCTCATAATATTCTGAGAAACCGTTATTCATGTTCACCCTTGACTTACTTTACATAAATGCTTCCTGACTTGAAAATCAAACATTGGTTGTGAACTACACCTGTCACTTGCATTCAACAGTATTCTTTTGTTTTGTAGTTTAGGATTTTTTGGAACTTGGAAAAAATTTCAAAAACTAGGCTGTTTCAGTCAAACGGGGATGTTTGGTCATCCTAGTATAATATTGTAAAACCGAAATTACAGAATAAGTGGTGATGACAGATAGTTATGAAAAATATCTTTGATGATAATGATGATGAGAAGTAGTAAAACCAATGAGTTGTATACTGTTGTATTTTAAACTGTGGGTTATGTATAATGATTTTTCAATTCTAAATTATGAGGTTAAAGTCTGATTACAACATTTATATTGCATTGTATAAGTAGAGAATGTATCTGTTTTGGAAAATTCTGTCATTCATACTTGTGCTGTTTTTACCTTGATTACTCTCTGATGATATTTGATGTGAAGTAATCCATTTGTTTTTTGAGTGCTTTGCATGTTTAATCATAAACTAGAGGAACTAGTTCTTAAGTTTATGTTTTATAACAGTTTTTTTTACCATGCAAAATATATTTTTTTCATCAATTGGTGAATATCCATACTGTTTTTAAGTGCCGTATCAACATCCCACGGGTCACAAGAGCCAACCTTCAACTGTATCTAAGACATAATCAAGGTGCTACAGGACAGCCTGTATGTAGGTAAAATCAGTATTTTTGATTGGATTTCAGGACTGAAACCAATCAAGATGTGAGCATCTTTTTCTTATTTAAATTTCTTTAGTAAATTACCTGTATTTTGGTGGTTTCTTACCTCATTGCAAAATAGTGTTCACTCAGTTTCAAATGGTAGTAATATGTAACTATGCACTAGTCTAAGTTTTGAAGTTGAATAATTAAGTAAAGGTGTAATAATCTTCTTATCATTGTAATATTTGTTATTTCATGCCTTAACTCATAAATATATTGAAATATGTTATTACAGTTGAATGAAATTATACATTTTGTGTAATGTTATGAATTAAAAAGTATTACATGATCAGTAAACAAATTAATTTTTTAATTATCTAAGTTATTTTGTTAATATCATGAAATGCATGTAAGTCTAAAGCCTAGAGTAGCTTTGATGAAAACAACAACGAAACATCATTTATTACTATATTTTCTAATGTATAAGATGACCCTGGATTTTTTGAGCAAGTTAAGTATATTTCTTTGGGGTTAAGTGTATAAGAAGACCTCTATTGTCAAGCAAGTCTAGGATGTTTCTTTTGTAAAGAAATTCTTAGATGTTATTTTTAAACTATGCTAATCTGAACTCTTGGGTAATCAATACAACCACAAGTGTGTTTTTTAATGCTTTTCAAATGCTACAGGCAACTCATTGTGGCAGAACTTAAGTCACAAATATGTAATAAACATCTTTACAAAGTTTTCATCACAGCTGAACTCCTTTTATATTAAAAAAAATCCTAAACCTTAACATATAGTGATCTACTATAATTACATGTTTATTTACAAAATTAGTGTACATTACAGAAACTTCTTTTGATATAATATTAGCAAAATTTTAGTATGATGGATGAGATCAATACATTTCAAATCAAAAATGTCTTGAGTAATTGTAAACAGCATTTGAGATAACTTCTAGTTATCAAGAATCAAGATAAATGATACAGTTACAAGTATGTTATTGTAACACAGTAAGTGGTACGATCTCAGTGCACTTACTCAAAAATATAAAAGGAACAATGTATTTTTGGTTAAAGATGCTATTAACTGGAGAGTTCTTACTAGAACTCTTATCTTTGTCCCTGTGTATAAGATGAGGGGTAAAATCAGGCATTGTTTTAAGAGTAAAAAGTTTCGTCTTTTACACCAGAAAATGTGGTAAGTGTCATTAGAACATGAGAAAAACAATGAAGGCTGTTTGACATTTTACCCATCAAAACCACACAAAAATATCGAATTCATGGTCACCACCACCAAAATAGTTCTTCTCAGGACTTTCCTCAAGATGACAGCAAATAGCAGCTAAAACATAGGATAAAACTAATTAGTACTCAATATCTCTTGGTAAAAATATTAAATAAATAGAAAATAGTTAGTATTTAATGCTCAGTCTGTGAGTCAAAGAGACTTGTCTGGTGGGGTTGATTCCCAAACAAAGCTTTCCAGTCCTTTTCTTTAAATTCTAAATAGAGATCTGAACTCCTTGCAATATCTGGAATTGGAATTACCCACCAACTTGGCTGAATTCACATTAATTTCCAGGATTAAAACCCATATCCAATCAAAAATCCCACACAAAACATGGTAATGACCACACATGTTGAGCAATACAAGATCTGGTTTCTCAGCTGCATAAAGCCATTTTCTCCAGTTTTCCTTCTGTTCATAACAATGAATGGGGAACACTTAGCAAATATTATTTGCTACTGTAAGGTGGCTAAGAGTGGTACCTGCCTGAACATGAACACTTCCGGTATTTTGTGCAAGAGGAATACGTTCAGGCCAAACCCCTTTAACTCTGCATCTTTGTGGCTGAACAATATTGAGAGCCGAGTTCTCTTTGTTGTAAAGTGTGTGTTTTTTTGTGGTATAACAGATCAAGCTCTTTATTGGAATACATTTTTTTGGTTCTAACATAAATACTAAAGATTTGACACTCCCTCTTTAGCTCACCCATCCTACCCCAATTTGTTGTCATTAATTCACAAACTGGGTCTTAATTATTAGAGTTAGCTTATTATATAGGCTAATAACCCTGTCAAATATTGATAATATCCAATCATAACCATAACATAAGGATTTAACATAGGTGCCTAAACACATAGGAAAGAAGGGACATGCAACCCCCCACTGCCACCCACATACTTTTTCCAGGTAGTGAATTATTAACAACTATGTTATATTTGACAAAAACAAAGTGATCTAAGTCATGATTAGATTTGTTTCCCCCTACTTTTCAACAAAGTTTGGCACTCGTGATACTTGTTCTAAATCGTCAAGCTAACTACTGTACCAAGTGTATTGTCTTACTTTCAACTCTCCTCATGGGATTAACTTACAGCCATCAAGCTGATTAGTGTTCCCACTCTTGTTGGCATACTTTCAGCTATCTTCAAGCAAACAATGATCCCACTGATGTCTTACTTTCAGCTATCTTCAAGCTAATCAGTGTACCCACTCATGTTGGTTTACTTTTAGCCAACTTCAAGCCAATCTGCATTACCACTCATTTTGGCTTATTTTCAGCTGTCTTCAAGTTAATCGATGTATCTACTGATGATGACTTACTTTCACCTATCTTCAAGCTAACTGATGTTTCCAATGGACTAATTGTCTTTTGGTGGTCTACAAATAAAAATGTTCTCATTGTTGTTTGAACTTTAAAGTTTATTCAAGTTATATGTAACTAATGTTCCCACTAGTATTTTGCCATTGTGCCTTCACATACACTTCCAATGAAGGGTGTTGGGTGCAATGCCATCCTACCACACTGCTTCTTCCACTGGCATAAAGTAACATAAATACACACAACATTTTGAAATCTGAAAATACAAAGGTATGGTTAAAACCATTGTAATTGAAAGAGAAACTTGTCATTTTAGTGAAATTTCCTACACTATTGTACTGGCTGAATGAAATGTTGTTGACTTGTTTCTCTTCCCTTAACAGCAACTCTGTCATTTCCTTGAGTATGTATCCTGAACTGCTGTAGTCTCCTCTTTTGGTAATTATTTTGCAAAATAAAAATGAATTCATAATAAGACGAATCAAAGAAAAGGTTGAGCTTTGTGTTCATTTAAGTCCTTTTTAACTGATGAGTTCTTGTGAAGAACACTTATTTATATGTTTTTACTATTAGAATCTTATTGCACATTTTAAGTTATATTTTATTTAACAACTTAGACTTAGGTAATATTTTGTAAATTCAGTATTTTAATTTTTAGACAACATTCATATTGACACTTACCAATTTTGACAACTGGCACCTAACTTTATCTACTGATATATTTGATAAAAACAATTTTCCAAAGCAAAACCTCAAAATAAATTTGTGCTCTGAGCCAACTCTTTTATAGCATGTTCTAAGTAATTTTAAAAAATAATAATAATTTTAGCTGAAGTTATTTTAAGTAAATGAGCAAATTAATGCAAATAATGAAATTAATTTAAACCTATATTTATAGTATTAAAAATATGCTATTTGTTTCAAGCATCTTATTAAGATGTGTACTCATCCAAGTACTCATGAACCTCATTGAGATTTATGCTTTCTTAAAACTGAACAATTTATCTGACATCATGGCATTGATTAACTTCAATAGGAATCTTTCCACTTTATTTGAAAGTTAGAGGCTTGGTCTTTTTTTTTTATGTGATTCATCATTACAACCTTAACTGACAGTAATATCATGACTATTCTTTGTTGGGGATAAGTAAACATAGAGTTGTTTCAAGTTTTAGAACTAAACTTCCCTTAGTGAAACTTTTCATGATTTTTTGTAATTTTCATTGGTATTAGATTAATAACACTGAGCCTGAAACAACAATGATCAGAAACTACATTTCACCCACTACATAAAATTATTTTTTGATAATTATTATTACTTTTGTCACACCTTTTCAAAAACACAGCCAAATCAGTTCACATCTGACGTTTTTTTGTTATTAGGAAAAGCTCACTCACACCCTAGATACAGTAGTGCTTTAATATTTCAGAATAGTAAATTAAAATTATGCAATTGCTTGAGTTTAATACACAACAATAACACACAGTCATTCATGTAAAATAATGGAAGGCAAAAAAATTGAATACAGGACAAGGGAATCACTTTCTTTTAACTACATTGACATTTTTACTCTCTTGTTTTCACAATAATAATTTTAAACAGTAATAAAGTTGTTGGAAAGTGCCTGATGAACTTACATTTCTTATAGGAATCATTTGGTACAGAGGCTTTGTACACCCTTGCCCGACTAGTTATACTTTCTTTGTTGAGAACATTTCTTCCAATTATTGCTAAGTTTCTTTGAGGTTTTAGGATAAATTTCATCAGGGCTTCTATTAAACTGATACTTCTTTTACTACATAAATCTCTTCCCAGCAATGAAAAAAGAATGTTAAGAAAGAACTTAAGAATAATGTAATTAATAATATCAATTTCATGCTTTTTTTTACTTATCTAAATAATTTTGTAAATCTGCTGAAGCATGAAGTACATGTAATCATAAAACCTACTTCTAGATACTATATGATCGAAACATTAACAAAACTGGACTTTGATACTCATAGTGGGCAGAGCACAGATAGCCCTTTGTGCAGCATTGTCCTTAATAACAAACAGCAACATGAAATTTTTAACAAAAAGCAACCTAAATTAACTTGATGAAATTATGTAAACTTTTTGTAGGAGGTATTAGACATAAGGTTAATAATATGTGGAGAGAATACTAAAAATGACATATAAATCCAATAGAAGATATAATAAAGAATCATATTTTTGTAAGAACGTAGTTTATTGTGAATATTTTTTAAACTCTGATTACCACAATGAGTATGTTGTCTACTCACAATCTTTACATTAGGTCATTCTTTACTAATATGAGCACATTATGATAATTAATTTAAAACAATAAAGAAGGGCACATAAATCACATTGACTATATACATCTGGTTATATGAGTGTTAAACATTTAAAAAATTATAATAAGGTTAATCTTTTATACCTATTAAGTGCATTTAGTGTAGTCACATTTTGCATCTTAAATCGAATGTTTGTCCTGTAATCTGGCCTTAAAGTTTTTAATGTTTGACAAAAACTTGCTTGTTAGTTGCAGAGTCTTGGCTACCTATTAAGTAATGGAGGATAAATCAACTTTGAAAGAATTAGATACATGGGTTGAGCAGTTGAATGAATGTAAGCAACTCTCTGAAAATCAAGTTAAAACTCTTTGTGAAAAGGTATGTTAACATTAGATTTTTTTAATGCAAACTAACTATAGATCTTATAGTGTGCATAATTACATTTCAAGGTAACAGATTATCAGCATACAATCTGACTTGTTGAAGTCACTCTTCACCTAGCAAAACCATATTGAAAGCAGCCTTTTTCATCCATGTAGGTATATCTGTCATACAGAAGTTGAAAGTAATTCAAATTAAAAGCACTTGCAACATCATCAAGTGAAAAGTTTATAACTTTAACTCAAAATTACTTTAGCTTACAAACAAGTATTCACATGAGGTTTTAAAGCTTAAACCATTTTTCCTAATATTCTTGGTTATATACTCACCAATTTTTAATCTTACCAGTGAAACAGACTACCTTTTTATTTTTAGAAAAATTATCTAAGCCCATACATATAAACATCAAAATCTTTGGGTCTTCTGTGCCTCGTATTAAACTAGAACTAAATGTTAAGTCTTTCCTTTTTGCTCAGATTTCTTATAGCTTAAGTCAAATTTTCTGTTATTTTCATAATTCTGAGGAATACTGTATTATAAAATACAAAGTTGTTTTTTACTTCATTATGCTGTTTATTTTTAGTTATTCATCACTTCTAGACTCCTTGAGGTGGATTTCTTTACATGTGAGGGGACCTCTGAGAAAAGGTTCTGTACTTTCAATTTAACTCCTCTGGGATCTGAACATCCAACTATGTGTTTTCCATGCGTGGTGTCACATGAAGGGGAGGAGAGGATCCTGGTGATTGAACAGTATCTGGGGCACTGCAACACACCACTTTGGCCTTGAATTCCTGCAGACGGGTGGCCTTGGGATGGCCCCCCAGGGTCAGTCGACTGGTCTTGTTGGGCTAGGGTCAACTGAATACCAATGTTGGGCATTCTCAACTGGTGTTGGGACATTGTGTCTGATGCTGGTGTTTGGGTATAGTGCTCACGAAACCCTGGTGTTGCTACAGTGTCGATGTTTGGCATTATAGTGCATCCCCTCGTAGGATTCCATTGTGGGTGGGGTCGGTGGGCACTGAATCTTTCTCATTTCATTATGGATCCCCCAAATCCTCAAAAAATAAAATAGTAAAAAAAACAGCTAATTGATAAATGACCACATCTTGAATACTCTGATCAGCAATCTTCAACCCATTCTGAACCTGTATCTCGTTTTTTGATCTTGCATTCCTTGTCAGACAAACCTTTAGGACAAATGTCTCCCTTTTTTATTCAGAAGAGATTAGAGGAGCTTGCTGGCTCTCCAAAGTCAGTCAAGAAGCTATGTTCTGGGGACATCTTGGTGGAAACATTTACACCAAAACACATCAAACTCCTCTTGAATTCGAAGACCATTGTGGATATACCCATTGAGGTTACTCCCAATGATAGTTTGAATTCCTCATGAGGAGTTGTTGTTGAGAGGGATTTAAAGAACATCCTCGAGTCAGAGATCCACACTGGTTTCTCCAGTCAAGGAGTTTCTGCAGTGCAACGTATCTCCACACGTAAAAAAGGAATTATGCTGCTTATCACTGTTCTTATTTTGACATTTACATCACCACATCCACCTGCCTCTATTAAGGCAGGTTATCTGAACTGTAAGTTATGGCCATATATTCCCAACTCTCTCGGATGTTTCCAACGTCAGCAGTTCGGTCATTCGAAGGCATCTTGTCATGGTTCTGCAATGTGTGCTCGTTGTGGTGACAAAGACCACAATGCCCATACGTGCAAACTGGACTCTTATTGCATTGATTGTAGTGGTTCCCACCTCTCTCACTATCATTCTTGCCCTAAATGGGTGGAGGAGAAAGAGGTACAGCATATAAAAATTGTTAACAATGTCCATCTCGGACATATGCCACTGCACTATGCTCCACTGCTATGGTGGGAGTGCAGATGGACCTTTCTGTGCCTCTGTCAGAGTTTTTTTTGCATCATGTGGAGAGTCTTTTGTCCTCAATGGATAACCAAGTTGACAAGTCCACGTCTACTCCTGTCTCTGTCCCCAACATTCCTTCCAGTGATAGCCCATGTCCACCTCCTTCATTCCTGGCTTCCAGTGCCTGCTTGAGTCTATCTTCTTTGCCCCCAAGATGCAGAATGATTGTTCGTTCATGCCTTCAGTCACTGGAATCTAAGTCTAATGACAGAGATCTGCTCACTTGACCAAGGTCAGGATCCATGGAGGTCAATAGACCTCCTTCTAGTAAATGGCATGGTCGTACACAGAAGAGTTCTCTGCTCAATTTTCCTCTATCTAAGTAAAAATAGCCACTTTGATACAGTGGAACTGTTGAGATTTTCATTCTAATATGGATGACATTAAGGCCTTGATTGACTCCTTTTACCCCATGTGGCTTTTCTTACAGGAAATATTCCTGAAACCTGCTGATACAGTCACCTCTTGGCAGTTTTCTTTATACTGAAATGACAGGTTGTGTGATGGATGAGTGCATGGAGGGGTGGCACTGCTGGTTGACCAGCATGTGCCCATCTTGTCAGTGTCACTTGATACACCCTTGGAGGCTGTAGCCATCTGTGTTTCCTTGGGTCATACCATCACTCTTTTGTTCTCTCTATCGTGTCTCCTGGAGAGATTTATGATCAATCAGACCTTGATGCTCTCATTGAATAGTTGTTGTCTCCCTTTTTAATCCTGGGAGACTTTAATGGGGTGGTGCTGATATTGATAGGAGGGGTCGTTCTGTAAAGTTTATGCTCCCGGATCACACCCTTTCTCTATTCAATACTGGTTCTTGTACTTATTTTCCTGCACCTAGTCTTTTACTGCCAGTGATCTTTCTATCTGCTCCCCTTCACTTTTATTGGAGGGTTGACAGTGACCCATAGGGCAGTGATCATTATCCTATCATTTTGAGGGTGATTGGACATGGTCCATGCCACCCGACCCGAGTGCCACTGTGGATCCTGCTGTCTTTAGTCTCCCATCTATTAAGGACTGCGTGGAGGCAGTAACTGATTGCTTCATTTAAGCAGTTGTTCATTCTATCCCTAAAACCTGAACATGTTTCCCACAGTATCCTTGTCAATGGTGGTCTCCAGCCTGCCAGCAGGCATGGAAGACTCAAAAATGGGTCTGGGGTACTTTTTGTAGGTATCCCACCCTTTCCAACCGCATCACTTTCCAGTGGGCCCATGCCCATGCTCAATAGGTCAGACATCAAAGTCAAAAGGAATCTGGAATTAAGTTCACAACTAGCATCTCTTCAACAGCCAGTTCCAAAGTCATATGGGATAAGATTCAGAAGGTCAATGGGAGATATTCTTCCCATTCCATTTCCATCTTGCTTTTCAATGGCCAGGAAGTTTGCTGATATACAAAACATTACCGATACTCTCAGTGAGAGATTTTCTCTTTTCATCCAGTACTTCTTTTCTTCCCTCGCCTTCTTGGCTATCAAGTCTCAGGCAGAACGATTGCCTCTTTCCTTTCAGGCCGATTATTTCTATGACTATAATCACCCCCTTACACTGGTGGAACTCACACTTGCCTTTCATCAGTCTGGCATGTTGGACCTGATGATGTTCACAATGAGATGCTGCACCATCTCTCTCCTGCCTCTCTTGCTTTTCTTCTGGTTGTTTTTAAACATATCTGGCAAGAGAACATTTTTCCTGATGCTTGGTGCCAGGCTATTGTCCTCCCTTTCTGTAAACCTGTGAAGGATCCCAAGATTCCTTCTAATTATTGTCCAGTTGCTTTGACTAGCTTTCTCTGTAAGGTCTTAGAGAGATGGTTAACACTCATCTTGTTTTGTTCCTCAAATCAAACAACTTCCTCATGCCAACCCATTGTAGGCTACATCAACAGTGCTCCACCCTGGACCACCTAATTTGACTTGAAACCTCAATCAGGGAAGCATTCCTCAAGAGAAAACATCTTATCTCAGTGTTCTTTGACCTTGAAAAGGCTTATGACAATTTGTGGAGGTACAGAATTTTGCGGGACCTCCTCTCACATGGGTTGCGTGGTCATTTACCCATTTTTATTCAGAACTTTTTACTGGACAGGAGATTCCAAGTCCGTATGGGTTTGACACTTTTCCATTCCTGTGTAAAAACACAGGAACTTGGAGCCCCTCAGGGCTGTGTCTTGAGTGTCACACTTTTCAGTATCAAGATTAATGCTATCACTACACAACTTTCTCCTATTGTGGCAAATGAGCTCAATGTCGGTCGTTGACCATGAGGTTTATTGAGCGGCAGCTTCAGACTGCCATCAATTGCCTGTTGAAGTGGACCACAGTAAATGATTTTGCCTATTTTTTTTCCAAAACTGTTTGCATGCATTTTTGCCACCAGTGGAGCCTACACCCCGATTCTGAGCTCTGTCTCGGTGATTTTGTTTTTCCTGAGGCAAAGTTCTTTGGGCTTTTCTTTGAGTGTAAGCTTACTTTCATACTTCACATAAAGCAGCTATGTGTCAAGTGTACAATGGCACTGAAAATCTTCCGTGTCCTCTTTTACACTGATTCTCTTAGCTCTCTACTGGCCCTGGAATAGCTTAACATTAGTTCTCACCCTGTTCTTGTCAATATTCAACAATGATTGGCCTATTTTTTCTCTATCTTCTGTTTCCATCTAGTTTTTCTGGGTATCTGGCCACATTAGTATTTGTGGAAATGAGCTCGCTGACACTGCAGCTAATTCCGTCTGCTCTGGTGTCATCACAACCATGCCTGTCCCCCATATATGGACTACGGTCCTGTATTCAAGGTGAGGCTTCATGCCAGTTGGCAGTTGAATTGGGGTCAGCAACATCATAACAAGCTTTTCCAGATCAAACCTTGTGTTGCTCTTTGCATGTCTTGTTTCTGTAAGGAAGAAGTTATCCTGGCTAGGCTACACATTGGTCACAGTTTGTTAACTCATCGTTTTCTTTTATCAGGTACTGATCCACCAATGTGTAGCCTTTGTGACAGTCAAGTCACAATAGCCCACATTTTACTGTCATGCCGTCATTGCAATGGTGAGCATATACTTTTTACGGGGTTTACCCTTGATGTTGGAAGGTGTCATTGGCGATAGTGACACTTTCCATCTTGATTGTATTTTTAAATTTTATGAGTCATTGGACTTTTTAATTCTATTTAAATCTTTTATCTGAATTTTGGACATTGTTTAGTTTTAACTCGATTTATTTTTACATTTTATAACAATTTTGCTTTCACTGTTTTTATTGTTTTTTTGGTGCAGATAGCGTAGTTGCTTTGCACCATAAAATGCAAAACAACCAACCAACCGACCACTTCCAGGCACTAAACACTTTCATTTTTGTGACAGGTTACAAATCCTGTATTTCTCTATTTATTTTTATGAATTAGAAATAAGAAAAAAATACTGATATATTTGAAATATGATAATAAACACAGAAAAAGTTGATATTATTCCATAATATAATCATCTGAAGTGTTTAGTATTTATAATATACACTGTAAATGTTTTAAGGACATATAAGAAACTTATAAGTAACAAAATGGTTGTTTGTCATTTTTTCAAACTACTGATGTTTGTCCATCCATCATTGAAAATAATAATGCAAGTATTTACACTTGCATGTTTAAATGTATTTGAAATGTTTACAGTTCTGTCACATAAATTCATCCATTTTAGTAAATGGAATTGGAACTTTTTTTTCCAGTCAAAAGAAATACTAGCTAAAGAATCCAATGTTCAAGAAGTAAAATGTCCAGTTACTGTATGTGGAGATGTGCATGGGCAGTTCCATGACCTTATGGAACTGTTTCGTATTGGAGGAAAATCTCCAGATACCAACTACCTCTTCATGGGAGACTATGTAGATAGAGGATATTATTATGTTGAAACTGTAAACCTTCTAGTTGCTTTGAAGGTAAGACTTTTTCTTTCTGAAAGTATACTTCTTAGTTTTATCATAATTTTCTTTGAAATGTAAAGTAGTTTAAAGCATGTGTCACCTTCACTAGCTCAGTGATAAGACTGAAGGCTTACAATGCTAAAAACTGGGTTTTGATACCCATGATGAGCAGAGCATAGATAGCCCATTGTGTAGCTTTGTGCTTAACAAACATATCATTTGTGTCTTGCGTAGATGAAAGATTCAGAGAAATGAAAGCAGTTTATTGTACATGTAGAAGATATATTAGTACATGCCCTGTTGTAAAACCACATACATTTATATGCATTTAAAAAATCAAAATGATATAGAATAGTGTTAGATATACATGACTGTTTAGGTTAATGCAAGCAATATGATTCAGATGGTTTAAGGTTAGCACAAGTGTTCAATTTATTTTTAGAAGATTAGTTTATCACTGGTTTGTTTACATATCTATGTATGAATCATATGTTATATAGTTCAATTGTTGTGAATTGGTGCTTATTGTATTATTACATCATGTTACTACAACCTGCTAAGTTTTTCTTGTTGTTTTGATTGAATATTATTGTGTCATAATATCTCATAGTGTATAGAATGTTCTAGGCCTTGATCAGGTTATAAATACATGTACAAAATGTAGTTCGAGTTAGTTATAAAGTTAGTTAGATAGATCTAGACTGAGTGATTGTGAGTATAGCCATAAATTGTGAAGAGTGGCAGCTTTTACGGTGAATTATTACAGATTGTATTGTAATAGCAGAGTAGAGTAGAAATAATTTGTCTTGTCAGTTGTGTTCTAAAGTAACTGAACCAACCTATGTGGACTTTGATATAAAGCTGTGGGTTCAACTGTGATAACCAACAGTGTAACAAACATTTGTATGTACATTTGATTTGTTTTAATATATTATTTTAAAACAAGTGGACTGTGTGCTGTTTGTATATTCTTGAAATATATCATCACATACACCTACTGGAGAGAGTCTGGTTCACACATACATACAAAACCTGGCAAATAGCATTTAATTAGTAAATCCTGAAGTAGACTTTTTTAAAAAAAATATTTAATGTTTGTTTATAGAATAAGAAATACCTGATGTGAAGGGTTTGTAATATACATATAATGATGATATTTTGGTGTGTAGTAAGAAATATTGAGTGGTTTGATTGAACAACGTTGGTGAAATACAGGATTTTTAAAATCATCATTTTTTAAAAGTGATTTAGAAAATAACTTTCTACTTGTTATAGGTGAGATATCCAGAAAGAATAACGATTTTGCGAGGAAATCATGAGAGTAGACAGATTACTCAAGTGTATGGATTTTATGATGAATGCCTAAGAAAATATGGCAATGCAAATGTTTGGAAATATTTTACAGATCTGTTTGACTACTTGCCATTGACTGCCCTTGTTGATGGACAGGTATGAAATTTTTATGCCCATTTCATTTGGAGGCTTGTAAGTTACAGATTATAAATGTATTTATATATATTTTTTATAACAATCTCTCTCTAAGCAATATTGATATGACTTTTGTGTTAAATAACTTTTTAATTTGTTATGGAATGGACTATCACTTGAATATAAATTATGGAATTTGATTTCTTATAAAAATTGTTAACAATGAAAAATGGATATAATGTGGTTTAGTGTGATATTGGATAGAGTTTATTGGTAGAAGATGGATAAATTTATTAAACATATGCTTTGTCTTTAGAGTTTACAAGAATTTCTCATATTTGTTTGTTGAATCTATTAATTAAAATTGTTTAAGTTCATACTTTTTTACAAGCAGAATCTTAAAATGTACTTTAGAAAACCATATGAGATCTGTGGTAATAATAGATATGGGTTTTAACATATTTAAATTAAACTTTTTTAATATACTTACACAGTTATGGAAGTAATGAACATCTCAATTTCTTAGATATTTTGTTTACATGGAGGATTATCTCCATCAATTGATACCTTGGACCATATCCGGGCTTTAGACCGCTTACAAGAGGTACCACATGAGGTAAGGGTGTATAGGTGGATGTTGTTGGTAGTGTATGTCGTTTCATCAAGATATTTTATATTGTGCTTTGAAAGTGAAGAAGTCTTGGTCATTTAAGTACTTATTGTGTATGCATTAAGTAACAGCTTGTGTTTTAGTGCAGGGTTAAGTCAGAGGAAATAGAGTAAAGGTGCTGAATGGTACTGTTAGAGTTCCGACACATTTTAGTTCCAACATTTCTTTAGATCAAACAAGTATACTAATAAATTTCTACAGTTTATAAAGACAAGTAGGGATCAAAATATACATAACCTAGCTAGCTATTTACTAGAGAGTTTTTAATACTACAAAAGTTTTGAAACAAGAAAGTCAAAACTACAAAACTGAGTTAATTAAAATTTAAAAAAACTTTGCATGTCACTGTAATTACGTTAGTCTGAACCAAAGTAGGCATAGAATTTTTTTAATTTTAAGTAACTCAGTTTTT